TAGGGTTTCAAAGGAACAGCTGGTGGATCCGAACTGCTGACCTTTTGACAGCAGCCAAGCTCTTAGCCACTGTGGCACCAGAGCTCCTCCAAGGAACTAGTGGCTACTAATTCTCCTGAAGGGAACAATGCCAAACTCTGAAATTCTCATCAAAGATGGAGGTGATCCTATTTGGAAATAGGGTTTTTCTTTTGTTATGTTAATGAGGTCATACTAGACAAAACAAAAAAAACCTAACCTGGTGCTGTTGAGTCGATTCTGACTCATAGCAACCTTATAGGACAGAGCAGAACTACCCCACAGGTATCCAAGGAGCAGCTGATGGATTCGAACTGCCAACCTTTTTTTTAGCAGCAGAGCTCTTAACCACTGTGCCACCAGTGCTCCTACGAGAGTAGGCTGGGTCCTAAACCTAATCACTTCTGAATTAAAAAAGAGCAGAATTCACAGAGAGGGAAGATGCCATGTAAAGATAGACACACATGGAAAACGCATCTATAAGCCCAGGAACACAAGAATTGCTGGCAGAAGACAAAGAAGGACCTCCCCCTACAGCCATGCTCTGAATTCAGACTTCTAGCCTCCTGAACTGTGAGAAAACAAATTTCTGTTCTTTAAAGACATCCACTTGTAGTATTTTTTTCTTTACAGCAGTACTAGATAACTAAGACAGCTGCTATGAACATTCTTGAACAAGTTTTGTGTAGACATATGTTTTCATTTCTCCTGGGCATATACCTAGGAGTGGAAATGCTAGATCACACAGTAACTGTTTAGTTATTTGAAGAAATGCCAGATTGTTTTCCAAAGCAGCTGCATCATTTTACATTCCCACTAGTAGTGTATGAGGGCTCCAATTTCTCACATCCTTGTCAACACTTGTTGTTTTAATTATAGCCACCCTAGTGAGTGTGATACAACTATTAATACAACAGTTAATATGACTATTATTCAAATTTACCCACCAAACCCTAAGGCCAAAGATGGTGAAATTGAAGATTTTTACCAACTTCTGCAGTCTGAAATTGATCAAACATGCAATCAAGATGCATTGATAATTACTGGTTATTGGAATGCAAAAGTTGGAAACAAAGAAGAAGGAACAGTAGTTGGAAAATACTACCTTGGTGATAGAAACAATGCCAGAGATTGCATAATAGAATTTTGCAAGACCAATGACTTCTTCATTGCAAACACCTTTTTTCGACAACATAAATGGTGACTATACACATGGACCTCACCAGATGGAATACACAGGAATCGCCAGATGGAAAGAGACAATGCAGCTCAATATCATCACTCAGAACAAGGCCAGGGGCTGACTGTGGAACAGACCATCAATTGCTCATACGTAAGTTCAAGTTAAAGCTGATGAAAATTAGAACAAGTCTATGAAAGCCAAATTATGACCTTGAGGATATTCCGCCTGAATTTAGAGACCACCTCAAGAATAGATTTGACTCACTGAACACTAATGACCAAAGACAAGTTTTGAGATGACATCAAGGACATCATACATGAAGAAAGCAAGAGGTCATTAAAAAGACAGGAAAGAAAGAAAAGACCAAAATGGATGTTAGAAGAGACTTTGAAAATTGCTCTTGAATGTAGAGGAGCTAAACTGAAATGAAGAAACGGTAAAGTAAAAGAGCTGAACAGAAGATTTCAAGGGAGGCTTAAGAAGA